AAAACTAGTTCGTAAACTGTCAAATTATTGTACATGGGGACATAGTTTTCAACTACGGTAAATCGTTATCCGGTCTTTTGCTTGTGTCGCGATTTCCGAAATATCCACAACTCCCTGTATCGATCAATTTATTCATTATATAATAGTAGGTTGCCTATGATTATATTCGTATTTTTTATGTTGTGAGCATTAAACTATTAGGTTGTAATGAAGATTTTGCCGATCTCCTGCGATTCAACATGGTGGATGTACAGTGACAACACGTGTATGGACGGTCGGTCGAGTATTCTGCAACAGACTATGAAATCGCCCGGCGTTTTTTCGGCAGTTTTTTTTTTTTTTAATATTTTGGATATTTCATTTACGTAGTCATTGACATCCTATCCAAGAGTATGATGTGAATAGCCTGAATGGGTAAGCTTCATTTCGACAATGAGCTGTTATTTCTGTGAACAATGTTAAATTATTCTTTGAATGCTCAGTTTATTTTTTGAAAACAACAAATTTTTGGATTAAAAAAAAAAATCATGCCGTTTTCCCTGTCAAAATCAAAGCATAAAGATCTTGTACAACATCGATGAATCTCTACAGTACCGCGTTGCGTTCACCACGAGGTCACTGAACCGTCATTAACATATTTAAATGAGCCACGTGTAAATGGGAACATGGCGGATATTGTGTGGTATCGAGCATTTACATTCGACCGAAATCATTCGTTTACGATGAAACTAAGTTGAATATTACTTCCAATTCATAAAAATTCAACGAATTAATTGTTTGTGCGTTATTATAATCATTACTGAATAATAATCAACAATAGCAATACTTCGAAAACAAGTAAGTTATTCACTTGCGAAACACAGAATGACCAGATTGTGCTACCGTGATCATTTGCTACCGGTATCGCGGTACTAACCACTAAGCAATGTATTAGTGTTTGTATTTATTCGAAACTTCTTTTAGAACATACTTTATATTCGTTATCAATATCGGGGGGGGGATTCAATTCCAACATTTCGCAGTGCCTATGAACCAAAGGCCTTTCACTCTTCTCTGAGTGTGACACCTAAACCAGAGGTTTTATGGTGTATAAACTGGCACTAAATGAAAAGGCTGTTGAACCTTATTCAAATTTATAAATACATGTTATTATGTATTTCATTATGAAAACTGACTAAATTAAATGTGATCTTATTTTTAATTGTTTGAACAGAATGATTTATATCGGTAATGACGTTTTCATCCAATATTAATTGTGCAATTGTTAAAATGCCTACCTACACATTTATTGTTTTTGTTTCTAAAATAGACATTTGTAAAAAAAAATTAAAAAATCATGCTTGATTAAAATTCAAAAAAAAACAAGATGTAGCCATGTAGCCCCTTTTCTGTTATGTTTCCAACTTCTTCCAAAGTAAAACTGGCGAAGCCTTGTAATTGCCATACAATCATCAACTGTGGGAAAACTTGTATGTTATTGAAAATCTTTATTTTGCTGTCTGTGAATTAATATAACTTTTGAAATGGCTTAATAGTGAAAAATATTCTCAAGCAATTGGTCTTCTGGTGGCATTACACTGCGCATTTATGCACAGTCAGTATCCCAATGCGCGATCACAGCTTACTAAGTCATGATTGTGGTTGAAATGGAATACTGAATACAAAAATCCAGTAACATCTCAAACGAATTTCTGTCTGCTGTGAATGCATGTTTCGTTGCATCAAATAAATAACCCAATTTTATGATTGAAGCTTGCGATCTTGTGCCATACAGGGTCAAGTGATTGAGCAATAAAAAACATGGTACCAATGATCTGAAATTTCAGGAGTGCTCACTGAAGGTTTATCAATCTTGCGTATTGTCTTGTTCTTTTTCAATCCTGCATTTCAGTTACTAGAATTTATACTAAAAAAAATAGTTTCTGTTTTTCTTCTAATAATTCGGCCACTTTCAAAAACAAATATTTTTCCATGGTCGAATTGCAAGAATACAAAACTACTGTGATTGCATAGCGATACCTGTAGGGCCATTGTCAATTAGTTCGCCTGATCAACACAGCGTTATACATAGGGCTGTTATTGAATCACGGAGAGTAAAATCTTGTGATACTAATCTCTAGAACTACTCAGATTTGTACATATGTCTTATGAACCCACATGTGTATATCTTGGACAATACTCATTTTAAACTTTTTTTTTTTTTTTTTTTACAGTGGTGCTGTGAACTAATACAAAGTTGTTTTTATGTTGTTAAATTAATGTCAAAATAGTTCTATTATTATGTTGGTTTGTCATAATGTTATCTTTATTTGTATTTTGTTTGATATCTTGATTTGAAAATGATTGCAATAAAGATTATCAATATTTTTACCACGTACCTGGACCCTGCCTTTCCCCTACATTGTCTCATCGTTCAGGCAATATGTTCCAGTGTTGCATCTTGAGGGAAGATTCGCTTAAGTGAGGTAAATGGTAACACACCTCGTGTCGGGTTCTTGTTTATGGATGCCTGTTGTCACAATTTTTCATTGTACATCAAATGAAGTTTGTAATAAAAACACTAACAACTTTTGTCTGTGTGAATTTATGCAACTTTATTTGTACAGTAAGAGAATGATTCTGTTGCTAAGTGATGATATAGAAGGCATTGCTGGTTTGTCCTACTTCAAACTGTGAAATAACGGGTCAATATAAATTAGTGATTGCAGGTTATGCTCATTAAGGTTCACTTTAATATTCAGGTATCACCTCTGGAGTCTTGTAACCTTGGTATATTCAATGATTATGGATACTGCTAATATGTCAGTACTGCTAGCAGTATGACTATTGATAACATACTAGATATGGAACATATTGTATTTAAAACTTATCTTAACAAGTCATTCCAGTATGTATGTACAGGTTGCTTGCTGATTTAAATAGCTGCATTTCATTCAAACCAAATCATTCTGGGTGCCTTTCTGAAGTTGACTTTGACCTTGTCACTGCGTTTCAGACATTGGACACTGTATTGAAAAATGTTTTGAAAGTACTCGTACTTGATCAGTGCACTGTAAACCATTTTCTTTTGTTTTTTCTTATTTGTCATACTCAGTATGTACACAGTTTTGGTATTTCACCACATAAATATATTTCTTGTTGTTTGATGCACTTTGACTTTGCGCATTTGAAATGTTCAAAATCTGTCCTACCTTACTGTCTGTTGACCCAAGGTCACTCAATATGTGCAAGTGCACAAAAGATGAACAGACAAACTCTATCAATTCGGGAACCGGGAATTGTTGGCAATATCTACAATACTTTTAATGGATGTTAATTTGTTACTCATTATACTTACTTGGCACTGATGAGGACTGTATATTTATTTTCAGTGTAATGGCAAGTGGACTATTAACATCAACATCAGAATTCTTATCAAATAAGATGGATGATTTATGTTCTTATTTACAAGATAGCACATCATTCAGTGAAACTATCAGAAGAACTATACTTGAATCATGTAGGGGTTTCAAACAATTATTCCATGAAAGCAGAGAAAGAGCTTCCAAGGCTTTAGGGTTCGCTAAGATGTTAAGAAAGGTAAGCAGAGAAGGAGCTTCTAAGGTGTTAAGGTTTGTTTAGATATTGAGATGGGTAAGCAGAGAAGGAGCTTCTAAGGTGTTAAGGTTTGTTTAGATATTGAGATGGGTAAGCAGAGAAGGAGCTTCTAAGGTGTTAAGGTTTGTTTAGATGTTGAGATGGGTAAGCAGAGAAGGAGCTTCAACACTTTAGGGTTTGTGAGGATGTTAAGAAGGGTAAGCAGAGAAGGAGCTTCAACGCTTTAGGGTTCGCTAAGATGTTAAGAAGGGTAAGCAGAGAAGGAGCTTCAACGCTTTAGGGTTTGTGAGGATGTTAAGAAGGGTAAACAGAGAAGGAGCTACTCTTGTTCAAACTTTATCATACGCCATGTCACACATATGTACATGTATTTGTTTCACAATCCAATCCAATCCAATTGAAGTTGGCTGCAATTTTAACGTTAAAATGGTATGCATCAAATTCTAGCTTTTCTGTTAAAATGTTTTTCAGATTAGATAAAAAAAAGGCTGAATGACAATTGTGTATTAATGATCACTGTTCTAAAGCATTGTCTTTTCAGATTGCAATTAACCACACATGATAACAAGTTTGTAAATTGTTTGATTGTGATCATGGCTGAATAATAAACGCTTATTTCAGGACTTGGAAATAGCTGCAGAATTTCAACTGAATATACAAATTAATGAACTTCTACAAATATTGAGGGACTGTCATCATGTTAAGGTTAGTTATAAAATTAATTATATCCCTCCATTGGGTATCCAGTTTGTGCTTTTTGCAATTATATTTTGAATTTTCGTTTAAATGAATTCTGTATAAAAATATGAATGATACACTGTCAGTTGTCAGTCAGTTGTAACCCCTTGACAAATTTCAATTTTTTATTTACATTAGCAGTAGTGGTCATTACTGTCGATATGTATTAGGTAGGGGAACATGTATGTGTGCACGGGTGAGCAGGTTTTATAATGGAATCTTTCATTTCTGTGTTAACAGTGAATATTTCATTTTAATATTTTGAAGTCAGCTGAACTAAAACATAGTAGCCTAGCAACCATTTCATACCTGTATTGTCTTGCAGTCCAAGACGTTTAGTTCACATTTTACTGGTACATGTACTTTTACAAAAAGTAGCATCTTAATGCTTACAATTCATTTGATATATATTAAAATATAAGAACAATTATATATTCATACCACATTCTTAAGGCCTGGTTTTGTGTATATTTTTTTCAACTTTCAACTTTTTCTTGTTAACAACTGGAGTCCATTATGTAGATGCATTAGGTCTATTGATTCAACAATTTGTTATGATCAAATTATTTGGTGTTTCTATCCCACTGATATCCCAAATTTTAATGAAACTTGGTACATAGATGCTCTGGGATAATGCTCAGACCTGATTTTTTGTTGAAATCTGTGTTGCAGTCACATGGTTGCAGTTGTCAGTTTGACCATTAGTTTGTGTTGCAGTCACATGGTTGCAGTTGTCAGTTTGACCATTAGTTTGTGTTGTAGTCACATGGTTGCAGTTGTCAGTTTGTTTGACCATTAATATGTGTTGCAGTCACATGTTTGCAGTTGTCAGTTTGAACATTAGTATGTGTTGCAGTCACATGGTTGCAGTTGTCAGTTTGAACATTAGTATGCGTTGCAATCACATGGTTGTAGTT